CCCCTCTAAACCAAGTGGCTGTGAGAGAGATCGTATGTCGAAGGACGAAGCGCGGGTGAGTGATCTGACGCTCGTAGAGCTTGATTTCCAAGTGTGCCTGCGACAGACGAGGGAGCCCATGACCCCTCAACAAAGGAATATACCCTAAACCCTAAAGGCTAAAACCTAAACACATGGCCCCTTAACAAAGGAATATACCCCAAACCCTAAACCCTAAACCCATGACCCCATCACAAAGGAATATAACTTAGACCATACCCCCCAAAGGGTTCTAGGTACTGTTCTGGGGGGGTACTTCCCTAAACCCCAATGGAAATTCCTACTATGGAAACCCTACGTTCTATTATATAGGTACTTAGGACCCTTTGGGAGAGCATTAAAGGGCCCTACAATAGAAGTATAAGTAATTGATTTTAAGGACTAGACCTCAAACCATAGTATTAACGGCCCCTTACTCAAGGAATATACCTTAAACCATAGCATTCAGGGCCCCATAGTTGATTGTATATTCCTTAATCGAGGGGCACGTGTTGGGCTCCCTAGGCGACATGAGCCTGGGCAAAATCCGGTTTTCGGCATGGGTCTGGGGTTTACCTTAACCCACCCGAACCTACCTTTTTGTAGGTTCCCTATGAGTTCCATATTCTAGGTTCCTGAGTCGTACCCTTTTGCCCTGTTTATTGTATGGTTCCCTTATTAAAACTGAATAACAGGAAAAAGGTAACCTTAATGTTTTTGGGTCCCTCAGGAACCTAGTATTAGGGTTTTCATAAGAACCTACAAAAAACCAGGTTTCGGTGGGTTGAGGTAGGGGCTTGTCATCGGTCTGTTGCTCCGAGGTTGAACCTTCTCGCTGCAACCCCGAACCCTAATCCGAACCATACACAATGCTGACGGACTTGGAATGACCGGGTTTTGGGTAGGGTTTAGGGGCTACGTAGGGGTTTATATAGGGGTTTAGGGGTTTGGGGTTTGGGGTTTAGGGTTTAAGGGTTTAGGGTTTAGGGGTTCCGCAGTACCGAGTGAGAAGAGCTTCAACCTACCTGGGTATCCAAAAACCTACCGTTTTAAGGGTTAGACCCTCTGATTAAGGGGTCACAACCTACTAAACCCTAAACCCTAAACCCTAAACCCTAAACCGGTTTGGGGATACAGGTAAGGGAAGGTCCGTCACTTCCAAGACGTCCTGTGCCGTGGCCTGAAGGGACCTCCACCACCGGGACCTCGTCGTGTCCTCCTGCATTTCATTTTGCTCCATGTGGGCGGTTGTCAAAATTAGGGTCCCTTTTTGGGTCCTTATTATACTACGGCACTTAATATGTAGGGTACCCAAAAAGGACCCTAAGTTTGACAATCACCCATGTCGGGATCAAGGGTTCTTGGGAGTTTTGGGGTCTATAAACACCCTAAGCCCAAAACCCTAAACCCCCTAGACCCTTAACTGTTTGGGGAAGGTGGGTGTTGGAGGTCTAAACCCTAAGCCCAAAACCCTAAACCCTTGACCGTTTGGGGAAGGTGCGTGTTGGACTTTGGCAGGTTTCGGTACAGAGCGTTGCAGATCGCAAGATGGAGTGTTCCCTCTGTGGCCCTGAGGACATGGATGACACAAGAGCTGCTGGGGCTGCTCCAGAAGACTTAGATCATCTGGATTTCGGGTTTAGACTTCAGAGTTTTGGGTTTAGAGGTTTAGGAGGGATTGCAGTAGGCAAGTTCTCGCTACTGCAAAGAGATATCCATTTCTTGTGTGACCTGCGAGTTCATCAGCCTGCCGGAGAAATTATGGCTTAGTTTTCCGGTATCCAGGGTTCCGCTCCAACAGAACAGTCCCTGTGTCAAGCCCTACACAGTGCCTTAAATCTCGAACTAGCTGGCTTTTGGTGGAGAAAAAGGGCATCTGAAATGCGACGTTGGTCTTTATAGCCGTATCCCCAGACGTACACCTTCCAACAGATTCCTATTTAAAGATCCTTAGTACCCTCAAAAAACCCTAGCCTTAAACCCTAAAGCCCGAGACCCTCAACCCTATACTCATACAAACTAAACGTCTAAGCACCATAACTTTAGAAACCCAGAACCCCAAACCATATAAGCACTGATTAAACCGTTTGCACTCTCAACACCCAAAGGGTCCTAAGCACCTATATTGGGATACTTACCCAAACCATAATCGCAATTCCTACGTCTTATATATATATATATAGAAACAAAATACATTCTACCACGTTGGCCCTTTACAGCCCCTGAAAATGCTTCGTAAACAAGAGCCTCTTGGGCCCAGTAAGGGGATCAAATGTCCCAGAGGCCTACCTAATCTACTATTTAGATTTAAACCCTGAACACTAAACCGTTTAGGGTTTAGGGTTTGACCCTGAACCCGAAACCCGAACCCTAGATTTAGAACCTTAGGGACAGGGTAAAACTTGATCCTCTAGGCCGTAGAGGGCCAGCGAAGAGAGCGAGTCGCAGGTATCCTGGACGGGGGCACTTCGCGATTTGGACTTTGGGAGCTTAGGGTTTTGGGGTTTGCGGGGGTTATGGGGTTTAGGGTTTAGGGTTTGGGGTTTAGGTTTTAGGGTTTAGGGTTTAGGGTTTAGGATTTGGGGTTTAGGTTTCAGGGTTTAGGGCTTGGGGTTTAGGGTTCAAGGGGTTAAAGTTGAAGGGTTAGGGCTGGGTATGCAAAGCTTTGCAGATTGCAGGGCGCTTGGGTCTGCCAGCACAAACAAGCGAATGGCTGAGCTTGAAACCTCCTGCATCGCCAGCGCGCAAAGGCCGTTGCTGGAGGTAAGATGTTCAATTTCTCCACGATTTCCAACGATGCTGCTTCGGACATTAGCAGTTAATTAACAAGTACACGGCTTCATACAAGAAGGCACCACTAAACCCTAAACCCTAAACCCCTAAACCCTAAACCACTAAACCCCTAAAACCCAAAACGCCCTAAACCCTAAACACAAAACTAGTCGGATCCGTGGCTCGCACAGTAAACGAAGAAAGCCCGGAAGCCAAGACTTCATCGACCCAGAACCTCGACGCCGCAATACCAAAACCTTCAAATAAAGTCCGAAACCCTAAATCCGTAAGCGAGGGTTTAGGGTTTAGGGTTTAGGGTTGGTGGCTCAAGGGGGAAGGGTCCTAGGGAGCTTTAGGGAAC